TGTGTGTGTGTGTGTGTGTGTGTGTGTGTGCATGTGTGTGTGTGACTCTGTGTGTGTGTGTGTGTGTGTGTAAGTTGCTCAGTTTTGTTCTATTGTTTTTTGTCCTTTTTTCGCTCTGCACTTCTCTGTTCTATTTGTTAGACTGTAATATTTGTCTATTCTGCATTCTATTCTGTTCTAATCTATTTACTCTACTATTCTATGCTGTCTGGTGTTCTATTGTAATTTTTTCTGTTGTATTCTATGTGTTTTGTTGTGCTCCGTTTCTTCAGATCTATTCGTTTTTGCTCTGTTCTATATTTCTGTTATGTTCTTCTATTTACTTTGCTGTGGTCTATTGTCTTTTATTGTTTTTTTTTCAAAGCTATTCTATTTTTTGTTTCAATTTTTTGTGCTGTTTTGTATTCTGCTCATCCTACTCCACTATTCATTTTTATCCTCTTGTGCTCATCTGGGTCAGGGAAGAGCAAGGCAGAGTGACAGATACAAATAAATGAAGAGGACTTTAGCATAAATAAAGATGACTTTAGCATGAGACACGGCTCTGCCTCGCTGCTTGTTTGTGTGTGTCTCTCTCTCTCTCTTCCTCCGTCTCTGCCTGATTCCCAGCGCGGGGTGGCCAGCGGTTCAGTGATGGAATGTAGGCTGCAGACTTTCACACAGGGTCAGGCCCAGACTCCAGACCTGAGCGAGGGAACCAGCGACGGCTTTCCAGACACACTGACACAGGCTTGGGAAGCGAGAGATGTGTGGGTGTCATTGTCCAGCTCTGCTCCCATAGTTCTTCCTTTTTGTTTCTTGTTTGTCCTGACAGATACTGGGAATGAAACTTGTTCCTTTTAGTTCACCTCTTTCACTTTTGTGGTTTGGACCTTCATTCAAACACATCCACCCACAACTAATTACACACTAAATAGGAGGATCACAGGCCACATATTGACACAAAGTTTCTTGCAGCCTGAAACTTCATTGATTTATCACATTAAGGTTCTGTTCCAAAGCCTATTGAACTGCCTTGCTGTCTACTTCCAACATCAAGGTGACCAGACATCCTCTTTTTCATGGACATGTCCTGACCAGGATTTCTAAATAGCCTAAAATGTCCGGGGTTTTGGATTTGTTTTCCTTTGTTGACATGCTTCATACAGTCCTCATACAATATATGTAGGTAAAATGAAAATAAGAACCTGTTCTTAATTGACTTGCCTGGTTAAATAAAGGTTAAATTAAATTAAATATGTAAGTGTATTTGCATCGCATCGACCGTTCTGTATAGATCCCAACGTCCTGCATGCTATAATTGGTCAATTATGTACAATACCTGCATGCT